GAAGTGCATCACAATATAGCGAGGTGTGGCTAATTGTGTCATTCATCTGCATCACCATAAGGCGCCATCTTTTACTGTATACTAATGTATGTAATTGTACTAACTGAAAGCATTAGTAGGAAGATCTTGTGGTCAGTGCAGATGATGAAGTGGAGAGTGTACTAATAGTTCAAGGTAGGAAAATTATTTTCACAGGGATTGTAATGACATCTTGAGATCAATGACAAATATATGCACATTTTCCCTATAATGTGACTCAGATGCTTTTATTCATTTTGTACTTGGGCTATTGTTCACTGGATTTAGAATAGGCTGATGAATTGACAGAAGGCAATTTGGATGCTTTTTGCATGGTGATAATCCTTTACTTCTTTATATTATAGACAGATGCATAAAATATTGCCGGCCGAAGTTTGATCTTGGCGGTGTGCATGGTAAAGTAACTTTCATGCATCTTTCTTTCCCGCAGGCTTGTAGAAACTAGAAAGTTGGTCACGGCTCAGAGAGAGCACTGTCTGTCTGAAGATTTTAGAATTCGTGTTTGAGATGGCAGTTCAAGCAGAGTAGTATTTGCATCTTATTGTATTTTGTTTATCTGTTGATTCAGGGGGTAAAGGAAAAGTTGAGAACGCGTGTTCGTTCGACCAACGCGACCCATTCAGCTTCCTTTAAGCGAAAGTATCATGTTAAGCTTAGTACAAAAACATCCAATCTTTTGCTTTATACCAAGACAAGAAGATTGATCCAGGGCGTTTCGCTTTAGTTCTTGTGTTGTTTATGTTACTTCCGTCGTCCTGTGCTGGTCATGCATGTCCGCTTCGACTTGCCTCTTGTGTATTTGCAGTTTCAGGTACTAGACAGAGTTTACTCTAAAGTTAGGCTCAGATCAAGCCAAGTCAAGGTTTGGTCTTCCAGAGCATTGAAATTTCTTTGATGGCCATACAAGAAGTATAATTCTTTCAGATTGTTTGCTTGCTCAGTAACAGTAGGATGATCTAGAAATCTATTAATCTCTTCACGCCTTTACGTTTAAGTTCAGCGATTTAGCAATGTACCAATCCATGTGTTACTACTCTTCTCGCCTCGACGACATTTGCTAATGTGCGACACTTGCATGATTGAGGTAACCTGGGAGTCTGTGAGCACACTTTGCTAGTCCTGGAACGACAAATTACGCCTTGCCAGCCGGTCCTATCGATCAGGAATCAATCATACCTGCAAGTAGGGGCTCGGTCACCACGATGGCGATCGATGAGATCCATCATTGGATGTGATGAGACACTGTGTCTCTAAATCGAGATGCCCTTGGTCGTGCGTCCGTTTATAGAGCCATGGGGATCTTTCCTCGGCTGAGTCAGGAGACAAGATGTAAGGCCAATCGCTCGACCCACATGTTACATCTTTCCAAATTTGGACAAGAGGGGACCCAATCCAAAACACACGCACGAGGCTCGATCCATGCGCAAATATGCCCTCCATTCCGTTGTACTAGACAAGCACGATAGTGCTGATTTTGTCATTGTCGCCAAATCATTGTCCATCTAATTGCAACAAAAGCAAAGAGCCTCACCACCATATGAAACCCATTTACTTTCCCAAGCCGACGCCCTTTTCTCGGGAAAATTATCAAATCAGTCCTAAACCTATTGTACTGCGGTTAATTCAGTCCTAAACCCTTTAAATTCTTGTCAATTGAGTCCTTCCGCCAATTTTGGTCGGCCAGCTCTGACGTGGCCGCCGGCCGGCGGCCGGCCATGTACTGACGTGCAGTGCGGCTGGCGGGCTGCCGTCCGTCAATCGCCGACGTGGCAATTTTTAATTATTTTTTTCAATTTTTAATCTTTTTTCCTTTTTCTTCTTTTTTTTTTTTTCTTCTGTCTCCCTCGTGGCCCGGCGACCGGCGGCCGGCGAGCTCGCCCGCCGGCCACCGGCGAGGGCGAGCCTCGCCGACCCCTAGCCGGGCGAGGCGAGGTCGGCCTCGCCGCCGTCGCGACCTAGGCGACGGCGAGGCTCGACCTCGCCTCGCCGTCGCGACCTAGGCGACGGCGAGGCTCGACCTCGCCGCCGTCGCGACCTAGGCGACGGCGAGGCTCGACCTCGCCTCGCCTCGCTGCTGCCTGGGTCGCGACGGCGAGGTGGAGCCTCGCCCGGATCCGGCGAGGGTCGCCTCGCCGTCGCGACCCAGCGACGGCGAGGCTCGACCTCGCCTCGCCTCGCCGTCGCCCTGGGTCGCGAAGGCGAGGTCGAGCCTCACCGATCCGGGCGAGGCTCAACCTCGCTGTCGCGACCTAGGCGACGGCGAGGCGAGGCCGACCTCGCCTCGCCCAGCCAGGGGCCGGCGAGGCTCGCCCTCGCCGGTGGCCGGCGGGGCGAGCTTCGCCAGAGGCCTCGCCGGCCCTCCCCTCTGGCCGGCCGCTGGTCGCCGGACCGGCCAGAGGGGAGACAGCAGAAAAAAAAAAAGAAAAAGAAAAAAAAAGATTAAAAAATTGAAAAAAATAATTAAAAATGCCACGTCATGCTGGACCGGATTGGCTGGCGCCAAATGGCGACCACGCTCACGGCCGGCCAAAATTGGCCAAGGACTCAATTGGCAAGAATTTAAAAGGTTTAGGACTCGAATTGGCAAAATTAAAAGGTTTAGGACTGAATTAGCCGCCGTACAATAGGTTTAGGACTGATTTGACAATTTTCCCCCCTTTTCTCCCTCTCTTTTCCCTCTTTTTCTCGGCCAAAACTTTCACACGACACTCTTTGATCAGGGGTGAACGTCCCCCGGGTTCTTCGGCATCTCGTCTTCGCGGCCTTCTCGATTCGCGAAACCCCAAACCCAAACGGGCACGACGGGTGGCCGACCCCGCCTAACTTTTGCAATCTTGCCTTTGCACATGGGCCGTGTAGAGGTCGAGCTTCTCGTTGAATGCGACGTGTCTCTAGCCGTTTCGGGCCTATCGAAAAGGAGTTTACGTAAGTTTTGGAAGGAAGGAAAAAAAATGTGATGAGTGACAATGCAATATTAGCCTCATGAACGCTAGGACCTACATGCCCCGAAAGCTTGCGTCCCACAATGATCTTTGCATGATCAGACTATACCGATTCTATTTTCCAATTTTTTTCATTGTCTATCAATGATTTTTCACCGTTGAGTTCTCAGTTTCAATGCCATACACCTCTTGAAACAGTAATTCTCCTCTTCCTCCTTTTCCGTTTCTTCCGTTCTTACTTTTCTAGGGTCCGATCTGAGGGGCTCGACTGAAGAAATTATTGAGTGAATCTAATGCATGCGCCATTCATTTGAACCGTGGGCACCTTATGTAAGGTAGGCGGGCCTCGCTAAATCGAATGATCTCACCTAATTAGTATTATCGTAAGCGTCGCATTATCGGTAATGTTTGTGTCATGATTTGAAGATAATTAGTGAGCCAACAAGTAATTAGTGAAAGCCTGCTTAGCCTCTACGCATGAATGGAAAGTCCCCCTTTTTCCACAAAAGCTTTGTTCCTATCTTGGCTCCACAGTTCGTCCCAATGCTGTTGTAATTGAACCTCAGAACTTTTGCTCCCCCCTCCATCGCCGGCCGGTCTTAAAAACCGCCGGCGAGCGTGTGAGCATTACGTGACTTCACGTGAGTTAATCGGGGGGAAGATTCGATTTTTTTGTGACGAAAGTTCCCCTCCCCGACGACCGGAATGAGCACGTGACTGTCGGACGCTCGCCGGATGGCGGCTTTTAGCACCGTCGATGAGGTCGGAGATCAAGCGGAACACGGCGATTCACTTCGGAGGATGTTTGGAGAAAAGTCCCACTTCGAGGGTTCTTTTGAGAACTGGCGCTGAATCGGGGGGGGTCTTTCGACAATTTCCAAAAAATGCAATGGAGGAATATAACAAATTGCAAGATACGGATCGAGATGGCAACGGCTCCAGCGCCAGCTCAGCAACCAAAGACACGTGGGAACACGTAAGGATGTCAGTCCGAGTTGGCGAGGCAATGCACGTGACGGCACGTGACATCAGATGTCATACCCCTTTAGTGACCCTTCTCTCATCCAACACGAGCATGGGAGCTCCAGATGACCCTTTCCTCTTCGATTTGTCACATCCCAATTTCATTTTCATCATCAATTCTTTCTTGTTCGTATCCCTAATTGACCTACAAATTCATTGGCCAATTTCTTTGTAGCTTCTACGCGGTGTTAGCGATACTAAAATCTTCCCTGTATGTTATGCTTGATCCGATAAACCGTGATCAAACCTTTAAATAAGTATGTCATGTTTTACAACCGAGAGAATGCTATTATATCACTTGGAATGCTCATGAATGAAGTATCGGAAGTTCCTAAAGTATTGCAGATGTTCATTCTAACTCCTCTATCTTTCCTTCTTTTTTTTTTACATTATTGGGTCCTTAAAGTATATAATTTTTTTTATAGATCAAGCTTGTTGCGCGTAATTGAGCATCATTCGGTCCTAATTGCCTCAACAAAAATTTACCATGTCGATTTTGCTCTACGAATTTTAGTAAATTTAACACGTAAGATTTCTTTGCAGCATTAGCTTCTTTTGACAAATAGTCTAGATTAGATTACTTGAGAATTAAAAGAAATGTACTAATAAGGTGTTGGCTTAGATGGTTAGGAAGTTTGCTCCTTTTCTTACCGACTCTAGCTCAAACTTTTTTAGGTTCTCGAGATTGCTCGGGAAGGTGGACTGGTCAAAATGGCGAAAGCTAACTCGGACACCATTTGACCCATTATACGGAAAAAAAAAAACAAATATAATTCGTGTGTTATAAAGTGGTATATGGGTACAAGAACATGAAGTTGGAGAAGGGCATGCGAGGGGGACGTACCACTCAAAACCAGGCATGGATGAATTTGCATCATTGTATGGTAGTCTCTACTCGTGCTCGTGTCTTGCAAGCCGAGCAAGACCACGCGATAAGGCACAAGACAAGAACATCATAACTCAAGTCATATGCATAAAAAACTTTCACATTTTTAGTATTCCCCAGAAGACAGGGGCCGCCAAGAGCGTGGAGATTTGCCCAATCCAACAAACAAGGGAGAAAACCAAATTAGTGTCCTTAAGAAGGTCATCGCATGTGATAGATTGACCCGACCACTGTCGACTTATCGGCTTTTTATTAGGTACACTGGTGACGGACTCCATGGTTTCCATCTGTGAGTTCTGCGGTCATGACCACTGTCCGCTTTCGAACGATAACCAGTGTAATGTACACTCCGTAAAGATCCATGTCTTCGGTCGGTCCGTCGGTCTAGTATATAATAGCTTACCAAAGTGTGCGTGAAAAGAGGAGTTATCAGAGGACATTACTGAACAGGTCCACCCTCCTGGTTTGTTAAATAGGCACTAAAACTAACGTCCACTCTTGCAGAGCCTCAGCTTCTCATCCCTCCTCAACATCATCGTCTGTCATCATCCCTGAAGCTTTTACTTCCATGGCGTCACCGGTAGAGCAACCCAACTGTGACATCGGCAACATTGTCAAGCTCAAGAAAATGACTTCCGTGTGGCGGAAGTGCAACAGAGCCAGCGGCGGCGGAAGGAATCCACCCTCCGATGTCCCTCCAGGCCACCTGGCTGTTCTCGTTGGGATTTCTCGCCGGAGAATTGTAATTAAGGCAGAGCACCTGAACCACCCCATTTTCCGGCAGCTCCTGGACCAGGCGTATGAGGAGTACAGCCATCAGAGGGATGGGCCATTAGCTTTGCCATGCGACGAGTCTCTCTTCCGAGAAGTGGTGGGCTTGATAGAATGTGGCGTGAATGCAGATCCTTCTTCGTGTCATGTCCAAGAGTGGAGGGACTTCGCCCCCCTTATTTGTGGATCTATGAGAAGATCGGCGTGCTAGAGGAAGTGAGCATAGCCTAGGCAGTGATGGTGGCTTCAGAATCTACTTCATTGCATTGCATTGCGCCATTAGGCTGCGTGCTGCTTCATCCTTGCAGTTTATAAGATTATAGTTACCAGCATCACCAGTTTGTCAAACGTGGTAATTTGAGAGCCATCGATGATATGCTTTCATCTTCACCATAGGTATTGGGTACTTCCGCCTTGTAATAGCTTACAATGTCTTGGTTGAGATATGATGCATTCCAACCCACACATGCAGCAAATCAATGTAAATGAAGAAAATCCCTTATCGTTCATCTCTTTTATAAGCTACTAGTGACGGCTTGAGGGGATACTTCAAAGACATAAGAGAAACCGAGGCAGAGACGAAGTTATTCAGTGAACTTAATCTGGCCTCTGCGTGAGATCCACCATATGAACCAGAGTGCAACCATAACTTTTCGAGGCACTGTCTTGTGGATAGCCTAAAATCACCGAGCTTTGCCTGCTTGGCTTTGTGCCACTCACAACATGTTCTACACTTTCTAGACCTTTCGCAACACTGATATTTTACATTGCATTTTGCAGAGTACGACATGATCAAAGAATTGATAGAAAATTAAAAAAATTAAACGCATGCGCAACAAACAGAACGCCACACCTTGTTATCAAAGTTTTAATCAGTCTGCTAAGAACGCAAGCTAAAAGAGGCAGCTTTAAGCTGTTAGTAATAACACTTCCAAATTTTCATCCTGTACTTCAGAGGTTTCGGTCGAAACATCGGGTGACAAATTAACTCTCATTAACAATGAACGAATTGATTAAGGGATACTACATTTTTGTCCAACTACGATTGAGCAGCTAGAATTGCAAGTATTTTTCCTCGGTGTTTCCGTTCTTTGATATTCAATGCCGATCCCCCCCAGAGGTATTGGCAGCAGAAAAAATGTACACTTTCTAGTAATGTCTTAATGTGTTCGGAGCCTCTAACAAAGAAACCATCTGAGAACATGGGATTCAATTAAATTCCAAACCTTGCCAACAACACCACCTGAGAGCGCATTGAATGCTTGTCTTGCAGCTACTCTACGTTCTTTCAGAACTTGGGCATCAGTGAAGAGTTTGTGGAGAACTTCTACAAGCTCATCATGGCCAGAAACCTGCGGAAGCAGAGATTTTAAGAACAACAATGGTGAATTACTCAGAATTTTCTAAGGGAATACTGGAAAGCTTGATGTGTGTTGAATTGAGAATCCTGTAGTAGCGTTGAACACAGGTTAACTAAAACAACAAAACCAAGCCACTTTTCCAACTGCAAAGAACTTCCATTGAAAAATATCTTCAGCAAGAAGAATTAGCACTCTCTATTAAACCTCCAAGTTTTTTCTTTCTTTTTAAATTTTTTTTTTGATGGCTTAGTTTGTAACCTTTAACTAGATGGTTACTGAACAATGGACAACCATCCACTGTATCTTCCTAATTTCCAAATTCCTACGACTCACATGTTCCCTTGATATAGTATTTGCATAAACCTCCTTACAAACAGTATGTGACTGAAGAATGGAAGGGAGAACATCTTTTCTCTTCAACATAGAAGGATTCTAAGTGGAAAAGACCATTTCAGATGTTTACAGTGTCTGATATGTCACATGTAATTGCACAATGATTAGCAAATCCGGACAGCTCAGTTAGCAAGTTATGTGGTGAATCACGATTCAAGTACCCGTTAGTCGAAAATCGATGAAGTCATACTGCAAGAAAATGTTGTAATATTGGCAAGAAAATGCTACTTTAAATAATCTTTTACAGTTCAATAAACAGAGGCAGTTAATGAAAAGCGATGTCTCACATACCTGCAAAACAGATAATGGATTCACTTTTTGCATTTGAAACACCATATGCGAGAAATGTCCAACATGAAGACCTGAATTTAGCAGAAGATTCTCAGGTTCTTGTGCTAAGAACCTTGTCCAAAGAAATTCATATGCTCAGAGACAAAATTCACCTGTTAAAATAGCACAGCCAGCTGCAGCAGCTTCTGACATGTTATGACCAGCTAAACCGGGGACAAAGGAACCACCAATTACAGCAATTGGAGTAAGCCGGTATAGGTGTCTCAATTCACCTACAAGAAAATAGAGACGCCATAGAAAAGATGTCAACCACAGAACAGAGACATGAATGCAAAAGGGCCAGGGAAACAATAAGGATATATTATTTGGAGGAATAGATAAGAGCCAGGGATATAAAAATCAAAGCAGGGCATGGAATGACAAACCTAACGTATCGACAATGTATATGTTTGTGCCTGGCTCAAGCTTTTCATGCTGAGATCTCAAAGCTACATTATATCCTCCTTTCTTCAATTCCTGCATACAAGCGAATGCACATTAATCATGGCCACACAAAAGGGAAAAAAAAAATCTTTGTAGCACCCTATTAATATCAAGAGAGCCAAGAAGGACTGCAGTGGCAATGAATATTAGGATTGGAAATTAATTAGAGTTATAGTCCCCTCATTTTACTTTACTATATTAACATAACTACCTAAGAAAAGTAATCCACTTTTTAATGAAATAGGTTAACATCAGAACGTACTTGATATATCTCTCGTCCGTGTTCTGGATATCGAGGAACGATAATACTGACTACATCATGGTGCATTTGCATGAGATGTTTGTGAATCCCTAGCATAACTGTAAACAGTATCTACTATGAGCATAAAACCACAGGAACATCGTGCCACAAATCATTTCACTTTCAGACACTTGCACTGGTAAGAGCTTCAATTGAAGCTAGAGGAATTATGTCCTTAATGAAACAAGAAAGTCAATGAAACAAAGACTGCATGTCCAAAGGTTATTCTTGTATACAAGGAAAGGGGGGAAAAGGCAGTCTATCTGAGGGTAAGCAAACATCAAATCTGCGGTTATTAAACTTCAGGGAATGAAAAATTATTATTTAGGAGGAAGAGAAACTATTGTTCTGACTTAAACGGAAAAAAAAAGAGAGAGAAAAGTATTGTTGAGCAATGCTTGAATGTGTGAAGCCTCTACAAAGATAATCACTTTGATGACCATTTGATGGACCTTAAAAGTGCACAAAAGCAGAGTAATTCTGGTCAACAGTTCTACAGAGCACATTAATTGTGGCTGAAATTTGCAATGTGGAAAGGAATGATAAGCATGATAAACATCCGACCTTCTTCTTCACCCCTATGTATAGAAGAAGCCATCCAAACCTTCTTGTGGGCTAGTTGCGCTTTCAGACCTTCAAAGGTCACACCTTCTTTAGAAGAATAACATTCTCCAACAGCTGGGGAGAGAACAATACACACCAGAAATATAAATTGATGAGTCCACTTGATGCTTGTTGAAATGAATCCACAGAAACCTCTTATACAATGTTGTCAATAACAACAAAACATAAACTATACATATGCAACCTCCAAATGCAGCAATTCTAACATGAATAAACAATATTTACAAGTTCACCATATTTTAAGTCTCCAGAAAAGTTGATCACAAGGGGTGGGGCTTGTAATAGTTGAAAGTGCACGGCCTGCACATTGCTCTGTAGCAGGAAACGGGGTCAGAAAGAATCAGACAAACGGCAAAAGGCTCAAACAACCATGACCCAAGAAGGCAGAAGTATACCAATGGAATTATTAAAGAAAACTTTGATAGCATGAGTGATATGAGAGGAAGCAGAAATGGTCTTGACCAACGCTCAAATGATTTGGCAGACATCCGGGCATTTAGCAACGCCAATGCAACCTGACAATATACAGAGAATTCCAAACATGATATTCAAAATGCAGTTCCTCCTCAAACTACCGATTACGGTGACAGAATCATGCATAGTTTCTGATCTTCTTGAAGAGAAATGTCACAAAAATAAGACATGCACGAACTTCCATAAAGAATGATGACGACACTTACACCATTTTCTGAAGCACCAACAATAAGATTTGGCCACAATTCACTCTCCACTATCATGATAGCATTGGGTTTCCAGTATCCGAAAAAAGCATCAATTGCAGCAGGGGTATCAAGAGGGGCAAGCTGTTAGTCCAAGAGAGGCAACAACCAGGAGTGTTATTAGTGTGTATCTCTATATAACGGAACAAGAGTAATGCCCAACAGATCAACATCTAGGCTACAAAATGAGTGGTGACCATGAATTGCTTCAGAGTGCATTTCATAGAAGCGGGTATTTAGCATGTAAGGTGTACATATAATAGAGCCTTCACAAAAATGAGGCGACAAGTTGAGATTTTCACTTCAGAGGGTTCTGGAGTTCTCATTTGCCAGGAATCCTTAGAGGAAAATTCTCATACTACTGTACCTAAATCATATCACCAAAAAGAACTCCAACCTACAAATCACTCTAGCGGGCACTGCAATATGCCGAAACAATAATAAGCGAAAAGAACTCCCACCTACAAATCACTCTAGTGAGCACTACAATTAGCTCAGATGCTAAATCATGGTCAATATGGATGACGAAATTGATAGAACTCTCAAGTATGACAACATAGAAGGCAGAACACATAGTGAAGCTACATGCGTCATTGTAAAAAGCTCTCATTGAACCAATGTTAATGTTCTTTGCTCCACTTCTACAAAACGGAAGAGCTTTTTGACCTCAGCGACAATTTGGATTCTCTGCTAGCAATACTTCTGGGAACAATCAATTCTACTTATCTACACAGGATGGCCTGCAAGAAGTACCTGATGCAAAACCCCACTTGGAAGCTGATCCTCTAGTACTTCACTGCACAAGAACTTAAAAGAAAACTAATAAGCTAACAAAAATGCACAGTATAAAGGGAAAATAACTTTTTCTAATGGGGCAATTCTGGGCTATAATTCTTTTACAGAAATTAGTTCATGCAAAAAAAAAAAAAAACGACGACTTCAAATAGAGCAGAGAATTATACTAAAGTGTGAATCGATAAAATATACTGAACTATGCCAATAAAGAAACGGCAAGAAATCAGAATTCGGAATTTCTTTAATAATTTCTGGAGAGAGAAACTTATTTCCCGAGTCTGGTCTTTTCTCTTGCTATTGAGTCCTTTTTTGGTGAGTTGCATATGCTAAATGAAAATTTTTGTTTCAAGGCCTTCATCTGATCAAAATGCACAAATCCACCAAGACAAGTCTAGCTCTCTAGCGTCAGCTTATAAATTGGAAAAGGAGATCAGGATCTGTCTTACAATGCAGACATTCTTGTTGTGGTTAGCAAAATGTTGACTTCAGGTCTCTTCTGCAAACAGTGCTTGATAACAGATATTGCTGCCATTGCTTCACCTGATTAAGTTTATTACAAACAAAGGCTTAGCAAACGACAGAAGCAAAATCAGCAGTATGTGATTATGGGTAACTCCGAATGCCCCCGGAAGTGGACAAAAAATCTCAAAGGTGTAACCCTTTTTGTCCCAATTTAGCCGAATTACTTGCCAGAGGCACTTAGAGATTTTTTTGTTACACTGAGGGACAGTTTGGAATTAGCCTTGACTGTGAGGATGCAACAGACTTAACACATTGGATTTATGGAGCTGCCCATTGTGGAAGCAATAAAATGTATCTGCCAATCATGGATTTATGCACACCATCCTGTCTGTGCACATTTGTGAATATGATGACAAATCCAAAAGGAGCAAGGAACTTAATGATGTGCCCGGGTTCTAGTTCTTCAATTTTCATTTTTACTGAAAATCTTTTACTCCGAATTGCCATGCAACGCAAATCGGGTCTTCCACATTGCAAGCACTTTCTACAGTAAATGTTTCCACTCTCATGTTGGTTCAACATAAAATACCATGGGATCACGGTTCTTACTTTGTCATTCCAATCAGAATCTTTTGTCCTTCGAGTTCTCCGATAACATATATGTTTTTTTTTTTTTTTTTTTGGTAACCCGGGAACCCCCCGCACGGCCGACAGCCGGGAAGGTAAACCCGGGGTGACGCTAGCGCAGGACCCACCACCACGACGTCACGCTTAAGAATCCCTAACGCCAGCGCTGGGATTCGAACTCCTACCCTTCGTGGGGGGAAGGGAGCCCGAAGCCAGCGCAGCCGCATATATGTTTATCTCTTCTGTCAATCAAAAAACCATCGTGTCTACTGAAAACTGGAAAGCCAAACTAGCCAGCAAACACAATGCATAAATCGAGTAAACTTGGCATCCTTCACTCCCCAGCAGCAAGAATAGCTAATGGGGATCGTGTAGCTAAAGCAGCTCGCCAAGTTAAGGCAAGAAACCAATTCTACTCGTCCGTGATTCCAGCAGCTGGCGGTTCGATTCAGGAGAAGGGCATCGACAGCAAGCGAAATGCTCAGCGTTTCTTCCGACTCCTGAATCGGCGCAGGCTCAACAGTACGGCCACGAAACCGCCTCTTCCGTTCCAACCGGAGAGATGAACATGGAAATGAAAAAGAACGAGAGAGAGGAAGGAAAGAGAAAGAGATGGAACCTAAAGAGACGGCGTGGAACCAGAGGAGTGGGCCGGGAGGGCGCGGGAGGGACGCCCGGCCGAGGCGCTCGGCCCAGCGGAGCGGGTGGTCGACCCCACGGGCGGCGCGCCACCGCAGGTGGAGGCGGAGCAGGGGCGAGAGGCCGCAGGTCAGCGCCCTGTATGCTCTGTACACCAGCATCCCCTTCGCAGTCGCCATGTGCGTCTGCGCCTCGAGTCACTCGACCCCTGGTAAACTTGCGGGGGTTAACGTTTTGAAATTTTGCCGATTCATCTCGGAGGGTCCCGCCGTCCCTTCTGGCGACGGTGGAGCGGCGGCGCCGCCCGAGACGAGGGGCCTCGTTTGTACTTTCTATTAATCTTTGTGTTTATTTTAAGGGTTAATACACGAAAAATCTCAAACCGGTACACCTCTTGATAAATTTACTCTCCGTTAGTTTTCGTTAAATCTTACTGTGAAATTGCTTTGTTAAATAACACGTGGCAGTTAACGGGAGTATCGATTTAGGGTTTTACCATTCGTTTGTTATAAATGTACCGATTTGTGAAATTTCGCAGTATTAATTCAATTTAACGAAGCGTAAATTTATCATAAATGTATCAATTTGAGATTTTTGGTGTTCAAAAAATTAGTTTGGGGTAAATTTATCACAAGTGTATCCGTTTAGGATTTTCCGTGATCAAAATATTAGTTTGAGATAAATTTATCATAAGTGTGCTAGTTTGGGATTTTCCGTGATATTAACCCTTTTCAATAAAGAACATTTGGTCTTGTATCTTAATCTAATTTAATTCAAATTTGGATTAAGAAATTAGAATTTGGACCAAAATTACGTCGTTTTAGTCTTATGCTTCACGCTTTAGTAACATTGAGTGAGAAAATAATAGGAAAAAACCACATCAGTATGTTCAGTTAGCCAAGTTAAACACGGTTAACAGAAAGACTTGATTACATTTTTTTGAAAATATTAGAGTTCAAATGCTCACTTTCTTGACGTGTTTTATGAATCTAGTGCGCTTGTTCCAATAATTAGGGAAAATTATTAATTACCAAAAAGGTTCTAAACCTGTTGTATAATGGTTAATTCAGTTCTGGACCGTTCAATCTAGCTAATTTAGTCTTAAACGTTTTGACGATTTACCAATGAATTCCTTCTAGTCAATTTTGGTCGGAATTCGATGGCACGGTCGGCGCTGATGTGATTTTTGTAATTTTTTATAATTTTTGGTAATTATCCCAAAAGTATCCCCAGTAGTTAACTAAGAGCATTGAGGATCCGTTAAAATCTAAAGGGTATGCAATGATTTAAATAGAACCGGTTTTGGAACATACTACAAAATCCTATAGGATCTAGGAAATAATCCAAAGTCAATTGGATGAGTTAGGGATTGATCTCATCTCATCTCATCACATCAAAATCCTAAAAAGGGTACGCGGCAAGTAAGATGAGACATCGGTCGTGGAGACGACAGCAAAGCCTATTTCTGCTCCAAGTTCTAACTAAGGATAATTACACAAACAGTCCCTAAAGTTTGATCTAATGTGCAATTTGATCCCTGAACTTTTAATTTGTTCAATGTAATCCCTGAACTTTAGCTTGATGTTCAATGTGATTTCTGAACTTTTAATTTGTTCGATGTGGTCCATGAACTTTTGGTATATGTTCAATTTAGTCCATAAACTATATAAAAATGTTCAATATTCCCTGAACTTGAATTAATGAAAGCACTACATTGAATATTTTCATATAGTTTAGCGATTAAATTGAATATGTACCAAAAGTTCAGGGATTACATTAAATAAATTAAAAGTTCAAGAACCAAATTGCATATTGGGCCAAAGTTTTGAGACTATTTGTATCATTTTCCCTTCTATCTATCATGGAAGATTGGATTAGAAAAAAGGAAAATGATACAAATGGTCCCTGAACTTTAGTCAAATTTGTAATGTGATCCCTAAACTTTTAATTTGTTCAAAGTGGTCCTTGAACTTTCGGTACATGTTCAATTTAATCCTTTGACTATACGAAATAATCAATGTCATTCCTAATCTTTATAAATAGAAGGATAACATTGGATATTTCATAGAGTCTACAGATTAGATTGAACATTTTCTAAATGTTCAGGGACCACATTAAACAACTTAAAAATTCAAGGATCACATTGCACATTAAGATAAAATTCAGAGACCATCAAATAAATTAAAAATTCATGTACCACATTACACATTTGGCCAAGTTATAGAGACCATTTGTGTAATTACCCCATAGAAAAATGGTCACTCTAGACAGCTATAATAACCAAGAATGACAGAAGTTAATGTTTAGATAGACGTGTTAAATGAAGCCGTCCCAATGTTAAAGAGTTCATGCGTCCAACAAAAAATTTCTTAATTCTCTCACACGCGGCACTGGCGCCGCTGCTGCCGTTGCCGGACGACATCTCCGCCATAAAAGGGTCTTTGTCGAACGACATGCCTCTCTTCCTTTTATTGGAATACTGTCATAACGACCGTCGTCGCATAAACTTCACATGATTAAAAGAAACCACCTTTTTGCAAGAGAATTATAGTATGAGCTTAGCTTTGCAGATTACCACACGCTAAGATAATATATTCATGCAGGCACCTGTGTAGCTTAGCTACCAATCTGCATTCCCAACTAAAGAAAAATCAGTCGGAATTAACTACCAGCACAAGCCGAAAGGACGAGATAAACAAGCAAAAACTATCGAAAAACTGCTTTACAGGGATAAGAACTAAGTTACATTTGCGAGTAACCCGAAAGCTATGTACGAAAGCACGACCCACAAGCTATGCCTGCATTCTAGTCATAACTCCTATGTCCTACTTCTATCCGGCACTATTTTACACATTCTATAAGAGAGATAGGGAATGCCTTCAACCAGGATCCAAGCCGAGCAGCAAGCCCTTCGATTTCATGGTACCGAATGTGCTTACTCATATTCCACATCATGCAACCTAAAGTTACCGGCTCGCAAATAAAACGAATGCTGGTGTCCAAAGTCCATTTCAGGCCACAAGTTTGACCAATCAAGAGGAAAACCGGTTTTTCAGACTGAAAGAAGCACCTCCACGGTCAGATTAATCGCTTTGGTATCCCAAAGCTGCAAACCTAGATTGAAAACCTTGGTCCAACTCAAGAAAGATGTTCATGCGATGCGCAGCTAGATGGCTCCTTGTTTGTCTGAATCCTCTCTCCATGATGGCAACAGAAATGTTTGATGTACACCAGTAAACCAACTGAAGAGGTATCCACTCAATCTAGCTCGTCTGTTAGTTAATCAAGACCTAAATTACATCGAGAGCCATCTCATTCATTTTAACTAAGTAATCATTGGAAGCTCTCTGTCCAGTGAAGCTGGCCAAAGACCTTCCTTTCATGTCTCCACTGATCCTGGAAAGATAGTTGAGACCGACGAGCAGCTCGACAATAGCAGTTTCAGTTTTTGCTTGATTGGCAAAGCAAAGAGTCTGTACTAGATGTACACTTGTTCCAGAGACCTCATGCTGCTTCTCAATGTTTCGTTCAGACTGCCACTTAATCGTGTTATGAGCAAGAGGAGCCAGCCATTCCAACATCTGCGCAACAGATAAATTCCATTGAGCCGCAAGGGAAGCATCGTAGATCGATGAAGCCAAACTTCTAGCATAAGACCTCAGCCTGGCCCTCAGCACTGTTCTTAAGGAATTTGATAACATATTGTACAAGTCATCTCTTGCATCAATGCTAATCAAGTGCGGCGCAGAAGCGAGCTTCTCAATGAGTATTATCACTCTTGCGTAGTGGAAAGCTAAAGCAGCATCTCCAAGAGTACATGGTGGGGCAGAGATTGATCCACACTTTGAATAGAGAAGGGCGAGTTTTGCATAAACTCTATTGCTTTGAGGCTGAAAACGCCTATCAGAACAGCCCATCTTCTCAATATCATCTTTGCAGACACCGCTTACCCTCATGGAGCCTCCAAATGCCACTCGATGCCTTTCAATAACTGGCGAATTGCTTCCGCCATTCATGCATCCTTTAAAAGGTCCAACAGGAGCCAATTTTTTTGATTTTGAATGCAAAAAATTTGCCTGAATGGATCCAGACCGGTGATGAGCTAGTTGTTTCTTCCTGCTAGCAGATGTCAGTACTGACTTTGATGAAGACATCCCGAGCGGCCCTGAATAGAACCCACATAGATTGTCCTCAGATGGATAGACTGGAGAATGCATTATAGCAGAAAACGACTGCGTCCGAGAAACACTATTAGAATTCACCCCGTTATAATCACTCGCCTCAGCAGAAGACACTTGACCATTCCCAAATAGATTCTTAATCCTCTCTATCAATGTGAAAAGTGACCTTGCTAGAAGCCGGACTACGTAATCATAAGTTTTGGTCCATGGAGAAAGTTCCTGCAGATTTTTCACTTCCTGACGCTGCCACATAACCTTCTGCTGAAATTCAAGTAGCTTCACCTGATCAGTCTCAGTATTGGCGCGCATTGTCCTAAGAGTTTGTTCAAGCTCTACCAGCACATCTTGCTCTTGTGCGAACTGCAGCATTATCCCAACAAACCCTTCCATCTTCTTCACTTTCCGGTCCATCTTTTTCGACTTATATTGCCACCCAGACCATTCAAGTTCGTATTGTACAGGATCATTGAGGAAAAGCTCAAGCCGATGAAACACAGGATCGGTACATCGCATCCCCAGCCTGACCACCGCCCTCGCTACATACACCAAATCATCCATCATCTCGCTCAAAGCAAGATCCACGAGGTAATCTTCGTCTTCTGATACAAGGTGTCTAAGCCCAATCGAGCACTGAACCTCGTCTTTCAACCTGCGAAACTCTCTGTCAGTCGAAGAATGCCATAATTTGATCACCTTCAACATCATGCTCACAACCTCAAAAGCCAATATTCCAACAACTGCCTTCTCAGGCTCTGATGTCTTGTTCCTCGACGCCCGCCACAAACTACTAAACCACGAGTCATTCCGCCTCTGGCCACCCATCGGCCACCACTCAATAAGATGACCGATTTCCAACAAGCGCCGAATCAAAAAACCTTCATCCCTGGCAATGATGTAAAACCAACAAAAATTAGACAACTACCCCCGACCATTAGTTAAACCCCCAATTCATCCGCACACAAAGTACTACTAAAATGACTAAGCTACACAAAATCGCTCAAAAGTGAGATCAAAATGCAGTGAACACTGAACGCCTACAGATTACAACAGTCACAGTAGCACATACCAGTTCTCGGTAAGAACCACAAACACGAATCTTGCCGAAAGCTAAATTGATGCAGATTGGCGAAATTAAGGAACGAAGATGAATGAATTCTTTACTCCTTTCGTCCAGAAAAAACAAGAGAAGGGACAGAAAAAAGAGAGTTTCTTTTCGGACAAAAATCCAATATTTTGACGAGATAGCCAAGAATCGCCACAGCAGGCGAGTAAAGGTTCGGAATTTTCGCGCCCTCAGACATTTCCCGTCCCATTTTCAAGTAACCCAAACACAGTCACGCCCACCCATCTCTCCCCAAGCAAATTCCCCGACAACCCCGCAAGAGGGCACGCAACAAACCATCAACCAAAAAGCAAGCGAAACCGCACGAGCGGCGGTTAACCCAAATCCCCCACCCGGGACAAACAGAACGCGGGGGGAAAAAAACGCAGCTCGACCCCGGAGGGAACTCACCTTCGACTTCACGGAACCCCTCGAATGCGGATCTAACGGGAGCGACATTCGAAGGAGGGTCGCCGGTGGGGGGAGAGGAAGAGGAGGAAGAAGGGGGGAGAGCGCGTGGAGCTCACCGCGCGCGCACGACCCCGATTCAAACCGCGACGGCCGAAACCAGAAGAAGGGGAGCGAAGAGACAGAGGCAGAGACAGGAACAGTCCAAATTCGGTCCAACCGAGGTGGGCGAAGGAGGAGCGAGGGGTGGGTAGGGGGATCTTTCGGCTTCGTGTTCGGGTTTTGATGCCTCCGGATCTCGCGGTGACGATGCTCGGACAAATCACTAGGACAAAGCAAAGCTCCCTCTCTCTCTCTCTCTCTCTCCTCCTCTTCCTCCTCGTCTTTTGTCTGGTGCGCGAGTGGGAGTGGTTGCGAAAGGCGGAGGTTACGCTGTCGTTTTTACGGCGTTGACTTTGACCCGCGCATTAGCAACGGAGGGGTCGCGATCGGGGGAAATTTTTAGTTGTTGGGATTTGATGCCGGGGAGGGGAAGGACGGGAGGGGAGGGGAGGGACATGGCGCCGTCCCACTGCGAATGTTTTGATCAGGCGGGTGGGTCCCGTGGAAGCTTCACCGATAGGGTCCATATGATCCGATTACCGAGACAAAACCCGAGCTAGCAAAACACGGCACGTGCTGCTGCTGCTGGGGCGGCCGGAGGACCGGCGTCCATCACAACTGTTGATCGAGCCGTCCTATGTAAAAACTTCACTGATTGGAGTCCGCGTGATTGGTCGTTGAGAAAGGCCCGAGCCGGTAAACTCGGAACTCGCCGAGGAATCCCTGTAAAGATGACGATGGGCGTGGCCAGTGGCAAGGCATGTGTTGCAACCTGTGTGAGCGGTTTCGCGGGCGGCTCAGCTTCTGAACTTTTAATCGATTCGAGATTTTTACTTTCTGTAAATCTTGCGAACATGGGCATCTGTGATTTAAGCATTTCGAATTCTCGCACAACTCGAGCAAATGTAATTTCTAGTTCAAGCACTATTCATATTCTCTTACGTCCCATAAATATATATCCATACATTATCGCACTCTTTTGTAATCCTTGAGCTGTATCTTGATTGCTACTAGAAATGGTCCATGCGTTGTCGCAACAAAAAAATCAAATTTTTTTGTATAGTACTCATTTTAGCGAAAATATTATTTCATAATTATTATTTTTCTTTAATAATGAATGTTTTTGATGAAATTTTATATGATCATAGGTGAAAGACCAGTCGCGGGTCTTTTCATATGATGCATTCTTGTTAGATTGTAAGTGTCAATACTTCACATCAAAATTTTATGGGTTAATATCATGAAAAACCTTAAATTGGTATACCTGTAACAAATTTATCCTTTGATAAACAGAATTAATACCACGAAAAATCACAAATTGGTAAACCTGTGATAAACAAAGGGGTAAAACTACAAACTGATATGTCCGTCAACTGCCATGTATCATCCAACTTAGCAATTGGACAATAAAATTTAACGGAAACTAACAGAGGGTAAATTTGTCACAGATGTATTAGTTTGGGGTTTTTGGTGGTTAAATAATTAGTTATGAGTAAATTTGTTACAGATGTACCAGTTTGAGGTTTTTCGTTGTATTGACCCAAATTTTATTTTGTCAATTGCAAAAGATAAATTTAAACCTTTTCAAGTCATTTGATGATAGAATCGAAGTACTTTTAATAAAAATGAATATGTATTTTTCATAATATCTTAGATGCAATAACAGAACACAATGATTTGTCTACGGTTTAATTAATCAAAATAAAAAATTAATGGATACAAACAAAGTTAACTAAAAGGGTGTACTTGTACAGAAAGCTTTTTTATGAATTAATAAATAAAAATAAAATGAACTAATTTGGTAAGTAAACTAACTTTTTCTAAAAAAAAAATTAAATCTTGTTTTGGTAACCTTCCTTTATCATGCTAACCCTTCTTTCACTTTAATTTGGTAAAATGAAGTACTTTGATATTATAAACATAAACTAAAGTCTGAAAATGTATCAGTACGTTGGACCTAAACAGAGCCTTATCTTTGTTTTTAGATATTATAATAAAATGTAAATTCACATGCAACTTTATGCTAATGGTCTATGACAAATTATAAATTGACAGGGGGTATGGTAAATGGTGACTCCTTCTAGACATGCCTATTAGCGAAATACAAATTAACTAGGATGGAATTTATGAATAATCGTTATATCATTTGACGATAATATGAAAGTATTCTCTTTCGTTATCAAATATATTCAAGAAAAATGGAAGGAGAATTTTCAAGTTGGGATTTGATTGTAAAATGTTTGCAAAGGTCGATCAACAAAATAGAATCTGATCCAAAGCTCCTACAAGGGCTTTTGCGGCCTGTATCTATCCTGAAGGGTGGGCTCCACTGATGTGTTTTATTTTGGTGTGTTGGTGCCCACACGCCTCGTATCCCCACTTTCCTTATATCTTTATCATCCCCAAAAAGAGGAAATAACCTCTGGAAATTTTACATCCTGGCGATCTCGAGATCCAAGTGAGAATCAGGATGAAACTTTTTAAGGACTCGTTTAGGTCCGAACAAAATCACAATTCTATTTTCAAAAGATAAGTTGGGCAAAAAAAAATAGGAAATTTTGTTTATCACTACCCCACTGCTAATGCGCGAGACAAAGTCAAAATTAAGTATTTATAAAAAAAAAAAGGAGATTGTGGAAAACCTTATATTTTTTGAGGACAAAAGAAAAGAAAAAAATAACCAAATTTGGAAAAAAACCGAAAAGGGGAACAAAATTAAAAAAAATAAGAAAAAAGGCACATATCTTCACCGTGGTAAAAGGTTGGGCCTTTATCTCTTGGTAGGTTGCATTAGTGTTTTTATAGATACTTAATTTCGGCAAAAAAAGAGAGTGTATTCCTATATTTTATTAATGAGTACTAGCAGCACCAAAATTTTTAAAAAAACAGGGGGAAAAAATGAGGTGGTTTTGGGAAATTCACATGGAGAAAAAGGGTAAAGCGTTTTTGTTTAGGTCTTTTAATTATGTCTTTGCAGCTTTCTCTCGGAACCATGCTTACAGTTAATTATGTCTTTTAATTATGTCTTTGCAGCTTTATTTATTTATCTATTTTTATTTTGTTTATCATGGTAAAGACAAAAAGAAATCCCTTGGGGTCAAGTTGACAAAAAGAAATCCCCCACAATGGGTCAAGTTGACAACTTTCTTCTGTTCAAAGAAATCCTTCTTCATGGAGAAAATATTCCATGGTTTGCAATCACCACGTAATATGCCTACGTGGTGTAAATATTCTCGCGTTGATCCATTAAGAAATCGCCACGTGGCGTCTGATGTGGAGAAAGAGAAAGCCTTATCATGAAGACTCTCTCCTCTGCGCACCTATTACCTTAAAGAAAACTGAGCAAGTAAAAAAAAAAAAAAGTCACCTCGCATTAAATGTGAGATTCTCTTCATTAATTGCTATTTTCTCCCTCCCCTCGATTCTTTCCTTTTCTGAGAATGGACGCCCTTCTCTCTCTCCCTCTCCTTAATTCAAATTTTGGATCTCCCCCTTTGATCTAAAAATTTGCTCCTCCGACCCTCTGCTCCGGCATCCATTGCTGCTCCGGCATTCCAAATCCTTCGTCTCATTCGGAAGATACCCTCTAGGATTTCCTTTTCTTCTACGTTCTCATCCTGTTCTCTTTCACTCGGAGATGCTCCTGCCAGTCGTTTTTCGTCTCTTCTGCGAGAGTTCTCTAAGGACATTATCGGAGTCAAGTTCGTCCATGCTCAGATCTTGTCAATGACTCTTACAATGAGCAAGTTTGGCTGCGGAACTTGTCCGGGTTTATCATGGTTTGGGTTGCCTTGAATATGCACGCAAGGTGTTCGATCAAGTTTGGCCCTCTGCTCCGGCGTCCGTTGCTACTCCAATGCTCGCCGCAACGACGGACACGTTGTTCAACGAATCTCAGTTGTTTCAGCGTTGAAGAGGTTGTCGAGTAGTCGGGGACTTTGACATCATGAATGTCACGCCATGGCCATTGTTGCTACCAGCGAACGAGGGTGAGGACAGTGAAGACAAAGGTGGTGGCGAAGGAGAGGACGAAGTTGGTGTTGCCGTTGAGCATGCGAAATGGAGCCTTGTAGCAGGCGTTTGCTTTTGTTTTTTTTTTTTTTTGTCAGGCATTCATTTTGTTGAGTTGTTGAGTTTTGTTGAAGAGGTTTTGCTTCTATTTCTGGTTTGGAGCACTAGAATTTATCACTAGTTTTCCTTAATCTGTACCTTGTACAATTTGAATAAGATTTCAGTTTTGCAACTATATTTCTGGCACTAAATTGTTCTTCCTTTCATATTTTGTTGAAGAGGGCCGATCACAATGCCCTCTTCTCTGTCTCTAGCTCGCCCAAGCCAAGCGCATCGAGCTCAAATTTTCAAACTTTCGGACCAAAAGTGGTTCTCAAGAAGTTGGGCACTTCGTTTTCCTTCCTCTTTTGCCGTCTCGAGTGAAAAGTTCCGCGTTTTGCGTGTTCCTAACACATGATGGTGTGCATGCTCGGTTGGTGTTAGTATTCCTAAACGAAAGGCTCTTACCTTTAGGTGGAAGCCAATGGGAGCTTTTTGAAATCCATAACTGCAATGGGGATGTTTCATGGGGGAAATGAAGGAGACGCTTTAAAGATATGGTGGGTGGGTTGTTTGGCTTCTCCCTTGGAAACTTGAAATGACAATGGTGGAAGACCGCAATCATGTGATAGAAGATGATGAAGTGTATATGTGGGATTTTTCCCTGCCATTTTGTTGATTAAATTCCGAGTTCATCGCTTGGTCTTCTTCACCCAACATTGACTGCTTTCGGGGAGATTTTAGGGGAGCTTTATCGTGGGTTATACCTCTGAAGGTTTTTGGAGAAGTAAATTTTTTGTCAAGTAGAGATTAATAGGTTCGTTAGCCAATTCAATAGAGCTTGGAATGGAGTGAAAACAGTCATCATTTGGTGACGAGAAAACTCAACAACTCATCAGTTCTAATCATATCTAGTACAAACCCGTGAACAGAAGCAAAACCTCTTCAACAAAACTCAACAACTCAACAAAAGGAATGTTTGACCAAAAAAAAAAAAAAACAAAAGCAAACGCCTGCTACAAGGCTCCATTTCGCATGCTCAACGGCAACATCAACTTCGTCCTCTCCTTCGCCACCACCTTTGTCTTCGATGTCCTCACCCTCGTTCGCTGGCA